AAAGAGTTGTCTGTGGATTTGAGAACCAAAATTTTGGTTCCATCTCCAGAGATCTTCATGTTTTCGTGTGCACTGTGCGCAACATTGTGAAGAAGTTTACAGCCCATGGCGCTGTTGCTTATCTCCCTGGACGTGGACGAAAGAGAAAAATTGATGAGAGATTGCAACAAAAAAATCTTCAAATAGTGAATAAAAATATTTGATCAACTTCCAAATAAATTCAGACTGATCTGCAGAAATGGGGTAAAACAGTGTCAGCTTGCACTCTGAATAAATCTGTCATCATCTGAATAAAAAAGGGAGGACCCAGGAGGAGCCTGCTGCTGACACAGAAACATAAAAAGCCAGATTAAAGTTTGCCATATTGGGGCGGCTGTGGCTCAGGAGGTAGAGCGGGTTGGCCGTTAATCGGAAGGTTGGCTGTTCAATCCCGGCTCCCCCAGGCTGCATGTCGAAGTGTCCTTGGGCCCTGGCGGCTGTTCTGCCTGTGTATGAATGTGTGTGAATGGTGAATGCAGATGTAGTGTAAAAGCGCTTTGAGTGGTCGAAAAGACTAGAAAGGTGCTATACAAGTACGGAGCATTTACATATTGGACGAAGCAAAAATCCTTCTGGGAGAATGACCTGTGGACATATGAGACTAAAATAGAGCACTGGATGTCTTGATTGTGTAGATAACATTATGATATCTGAAGACTCCCAAAGAATTCTGGGGTGCAATGTAGGGCCCGGTGTCAGAAAGGTGGGTCTCCTGTCAGAGGTCATGGGTCTTACAGCAGGACAATGACCAAAAGCATACTTCAAAAAGCACCCAAAAATGATTTAAGACAAAGCACTGGAGAGTGGCCAGCAATGAGTCTAGATCAAAATTCCATAGAGCACCTGTGGAGAGATCTCAAAACTTGTTGGGAGAAGGAACCCATCAAATCTCAAAGAATGGTCCAAAATTCCTGTACTCATTGATGGTTACAGAAGGGGTGTGCTACCAAATATTAGGTTGAGGCTGCCAAATATTTTGTCCAGTCCATTTTTAGAGTTCTGTGTGAAACGTCTCAGATTTGGCTTTTGTTCTCTGATTTCTGAAAATGAAAGGGACCAGACCCTTCTTATTGCTGCTCTGACACAGCATGATTACAGGTGGTTGGACATGTAAGATGGGTTGAGAGGAAACTAATACTGGCTTGATGCTCAGCGAGCAGTTAGTAATACAGGAATAGTGTAAAAATGTTTGCAGTGCCAACTCCCCAACAGGATGTCACAATCAGGAGTTGCGCCACCTTCCTGCATGGGAAAGACACTTGATGACTCAGAGCAAGCAAGCAAGTCAATAATTAAGAATGGCAGCCAGGGGGATGAAATGTCAGCGTACAGGATGTTTTCCATTGCTGGATTGGACCAGCTCGACTGTTCACTGGGTTCGTGAGCAGAATGTGAACAATTATATAATATGAAGACTTGAAGTTGTTTGACTCATTTGGGACCATCTACAATAAACATTAATCTCATACAAAAAGAATAGATGTATTTTACCAGATTTTAGCTACTGGCAAATTTCTAAATAATTTACTGTAACAGTAGACAAGTTTAAAATGCATCACAGCCTAAGACAAAGACCATTGTCAGTGTTCAAGAGGTCCTGCTAAACTAAAGATGATGCTATTCAAAACACTATTTTTTTGGTGAGTGGTGCTATATTGACTTCATCAGTTGGGGGAGGCAGCATGAATGAAAGACTGTTGTGTTGACAGCGAAGTGCATGAATCAGCAGTGACTCTGCAATGGAAAAGACAGGAGCGGCAGGCTTTCTATTCAGCCTGACCAAATCCTGGTTAATTATGAGCTTATTTAAAAAGACAAAAGAGTGAGAAGACAGGATGATGGGCTTTATGTACTAGTATTGTTTTAGTAATGCGGATGTATGTGCATAACATTGTAGTAATTATAATACATTTTATTTCTATAGCACTTTTCAAGACACTCAAGACACTTTACAGTAAAAGTAGAAGTTATGTACATTTAAAACAGATTAAAAACATAAATAGCATAATATAAAATATATGAACAGTAGATTAGTGATGTGAAAGAGTCCATGTCATTGCAATCTCAGATGTGTATGGGTAAGGAGTTCCATAGGGAGGGGCTGCAATGGTGAAAGCTCTGTCTGTGGTGAACTGGTATCACTATCCTTAGTTTCGTACAGTTGGACTTAGGGCTGGGCGATATAGCCAAAAATGTTGTCAGAGCTCATCATTCGATATCGATAATTATCAAGATAAAGGGCAAATCATTATTTCTTTCAAGTTAAAAGGCTAACCTTTCAACAAATATGCACGTGTAAAATTAAGTAAAATCTTTTTTTTAGTCCCATTCCTCAACAAAATGAATATCTTTATAAGAGTGTAATTAAATCAAATATTCATTGAACATTTATTGAACAATCGTTAAATTGTTATTGAGGAAAATTATAATTAATTAATGCCAACAGTCCATTATCTACGAGGGGATACTGTAATTAAAGAGGACAGACATTTTAGAAGTGAGCCAACATAAGAATGGAAATGCATGCACCGATATGAATACAAGAGTCTAGGCAATGGGAGGCTGTAGTTGTGCACAGTGGCTGCTGACAGACACTGACATGCTGACAGTGACGATGCTAACATGCTGATGGATTGCAGGTAATGTTTGCCTTGTTCACCATCTTTTGTGTTAGCATGCCAACATTTGCTAATTAGCATTAAACACAAATAGGAATGTCATTTGTTTTTCAGGCATTTGGTAATAAAAATGTTTAATTTTGGCCTAGTGAAACGGCAAAATGAAAGGTTAACAGATTGTTACAACTCATCCTGAGGGGGACATGAACGTCTATTCCGGCATTCATAAAAATCGTTGTAACAGTTGTCAAGACATTTCACTTGAAACCACAAATGTCATGATTCATCCTCTGCATACCATGAACATCTGTACAACATTTATAGCAATGCATCCAACAGTTGTTGAGATATCAGTCTGGACCATTAGTAAATAGATGGTAAACACCACTCTTTTTGTACATTTTTAGTGTTTTAAGTGGCCTCTGTGCTTGACTCTGTTTGTGCAGTTCATTTTTGGCCTGTCTTACACTCTCTAGGGACTGGGTGGTGTTTGTGTGTCTTTATGTGCCATGGTGGGGGCTGTAGCCATAAACTACCTTCTCCTCCCTGCCCTGCCCCCTGACAGAGTTGCATAACAAATATGTAAAATCCACTGGGGGTCATGTGATGTCGCCCTCCAGCATGTTATAAATTGTTGTCAATAGAAAAAGATGCAGCTTACTGTTTCATCCTGAGCCACTAATGCACGAGTAGCGCATGTGTCGATAAATGACATCCCTGTTAAAAGCTGCCAGACTGTTGAGTGTGTGTGTATTTGTTTATAGTTTACGTCTATGAGCTAGTTTGTGATTTGTGTGTATTACTGTCCAGCGTGCTCGTGTTGCACACTTACATACGTAGTCTTTTTTTTCTCACAGACAAAGGAGTCATTTGTGGAGCGTATGCAGGGAGGAAGAATAGCTTGGTGTTTCTCCTTGTTGTGCACTTCTCTTCTGGCACTGTAGGCTCCAGTCAGCTACTTTACTAGGTGGTGGGTGGTGGGTGGACTGTGTCCTCGTGTGTCCGTGTGAATTGCAGTGATTCATTCATACTGCCCTCTCCTGCGCAGGGCCCCTCAGGCATTCCTACCACAGCCCCCAGACCTGGTTTGGAACAATGTCAAGTCAATTCACATCAAGCATCGGAAGTTGCTTCCGGTTGAAGCCAACTGTAGTTTATTGATTCAGCAAGCTACAGTGAAATAAGGCCTCATGTTCTTTTAATTTTGGCTTTCAAGATTGATATCAAAATATGGATGAACTCCAGTTGTGCTTCTGAGCAGAATGGTTTCACTTTTCTGTTTTGCAATGGTGTTTTGAAAAGATTACTCATCTCTGTGGTTTTCTCTGTTCAGGTGTTGCCAGTACTCTGTTTGATCATGTGTAAAGTGTGACTGGTTGGGTGGTTGTTGCTGAAAGCTTGGCTTCCGCTTCATCTCAGTAGATGGTAGGTTGTATTTGTGTTGAGAAAGGGACAAAGGCAAGCAAAGACTAGCAGATGTTAAACCAAAAGATGAGAATTGCATTTAGGTAGATGATTTTATGCTTTATATACAAAATGTAATGATGTTTATAGTCTGTGGTAGTAAGTTATTTACACAAAGTATGTCTATAATATCCCAAACTGCTAGGCCTACCATGCTGTCAAACAGGGACTTGAATTTTAATTCTTTCATTTTCTTTCATTTAAATATAAGCCGTGTTTCATGCTGCGTTGTAACTTTTTTTTTGTGGCAATCCATGAATACTGTCTGTTGTGCTAATCATTGTGTATGATCATTAGACATTTAATGGTATGTTGATATCTGCCTATGTTTGACCAGATGTTAATGACACTGTTGAATTGACCTTACCTACTATGCTGTACCAAAAGCAAATCCCACCGACCTCTGTCGTGTGGTCATTAATAATAATAAATAATAATTATATTATAATATCGTTATAAATGATATCAGATTATGTAAATAGGTTGATAATATAATTTATTTAACTTGTCTTTTATGTTTTTTCACTAGTAGGAACTGCTGTCCTGTATCCAAAGAGAAAACTGTGCTTGTTAGCAGCCTGTGTATCAAGTCCTTTCTGTTGAAACCGTCCTTTCTGTTGAAACCCTGTACACCTCTCCAGTTTCCTGGCTCTGACTCATTCTCTCATCACAATATTAGGTCTCACTATAGCCCATGGGTGTTCACTTTCAGCCACTCAGGAGAGGGGTGCATATAAATGTGTTTATCTGTCTCTTGTTGTGGTCGGCACAGGAAAAACAGTAGTTCTGCAGTTAGGGGTGATGATACAAGCCCTCCATAAAGCTTGAATGAAAGTGATACATGACCATTTTTTGTTTGTTTTGCTGGGTTTTTTTCAGGCAAGTCCTGAAACATACTCCTGGTTAGTGTTGACCAATGGATGAGGATGAAATCATGTGAGCGTGTACTAGCCTCGCAGCGCCATGGACTTGTAGCTGAGCAAACTCTCACCTCAATGGACTGGGGGCCTCGTCTGTACGTGGTTGACCTTCTCTCATCAACCTGAGATCTACGGGGTCAGAGAAGCATTGGACTCAGACCAGGAAAGAAAACCAGGTTTCAATGGCTCAAATAGTGCAGGTAAGAAGACTGTGTGCGTGTGTACTGTACACACATGCTCATACATTCAGAATCTCAGACAGTGGCACTGTATCAATGCTATTCTTTTTTGCAGCTTAGTGCGACAGCATGCTATGCATGTTTTTGCAGATGTGTACACTGTTTAAACACACAAACAAGTTTGGTTGTGTATCTAAAAGTTTATCTGCCATATTTGTACCTGCCATACTATGTTTACTATTTTGTCTGTGTGTGTGTCTGTGTGTGTGTGTCTGTGTGTGTGTGTGTGTGTGTGTGTGTGTGACATGCAGACATGAGATTATGCCGTACAGTTACTGTGCTTTCCACAGACCAGCTCAGTGTATGTCTCAATGGGAACTATTCACCTTTGAAATGCAGAGGAGCAAATACCTGGATGATGTCATCTTGGGTCACACTGTTGGTTTCTCGTGTGTGAGTTAAAGATAGTATGGCAGGATGATGAAGAAAAGAGGAAATGTTTCTTTACATCTTGCAGGTTTCTTATGGTCTCCCTGCAGATAGACGCTTAAAAACAGAAGATGGATGTGGTTGACCATTTCCTGTTTCATCACACTTAAGTTTATGTATCCAAAGGGGATCTGTCCCAAAATCATTTATTTTCCTTTTTTGTGGGACACAGTCACTGAATAACAATTCTTAGCTGATGAGGTAGAGTAGGAGGAAGTGAGAGTCACACTGGTGGCTTTAATAGAAACCCCACTGTTCCTCAGGCACAAACAGACCCACGCACAGGATGCCGGCCAGCCAGACACTCCCAAACAGGTGTCTGCAAGTCTCAGTACAAAGAGAAATAATAACCGAGCGTGTGTTTGAGAGCTGAGATGGAGCGAAAGTGAGGGGAGCAGTCTATGTGAGTGTGTGCAGTATGTTTGCCTGTGAATATGGGAATTGTGCCAACATGCCTTTGTGTGAGTGGGTGCACTCAGTGACACTTTGTATATGCTTTTGTTTTTGTGAAACGGCACACGATTGACCGAATGCTGCTGCCATGCCGTTTGTTTACTTATCAGATGCAGACCATCAGTGTCTAGCTGTGTAAATGGCTCTATAATTGGAGCAGTGCGGATGGCAAGTGGAGTGGCAACTGATGTCTGACTGAAAAATTGCAATTGTACCAGTAAGTAATGTGAAACTCAGTGGTGGAAGTATATGTACTCAGGTGTTGTACTTAAGTATAAGTTTGAACTGCTTTACTTGAGTTTTTCCATTTTATGCTATTTTCTACTTCTACTTCACTACATTTCAGTAGAAAAAAAATTACTTTCTACTCCACTACACATATTTAACAGCTAAAGTTATCAGTTACTTTTCAGATGAAGATGTTTACATACAAAACAATACATTGTTATATATCAAACAACCCAAGATAATATGGAGAAATTAACTTAATGTGATCTAATAATATAACACTGAGGTACCGCTGAGGTTCTGCTGCCTAATGTACTATAAAATATTTTTAATTTGCATTTGTTTTACTACAATTTCACCCTTATATTTCTGTACTTTAACTTTAAAATGATGAATGCAGGATGTTTCTTAAATTAAATTCGTAAATTATCTTAAATATTTTTTACTAAAACGGCTACTGGTGTTACTGAAAGACATAGCCATACTTTACAATAGCCTTATTTTAGCCTATAGACAGGATTCCTACACAGTATGGGAAATGGGGGAGGGGGCATTATTATTATTATTATTGTTATTATTATTATTATTCATTTTGGGCTAATTAAGCTAGTCTAATATGCAGGTATGATCACTTGACCATGACTGGACCAAAACAGTCATGTGACACATGCAGTTGGAAGACAATAAAATAGGTGTACATTGTAATATTTACAAAATATAGGTCTACAGCTTGCCCTAACTTTAAAGAGTTTCCCACATATAGACTTTATTTGGGCAGGCCGCCCAGGTATATTAACAGCTGCCAAAGAATATTTGGCAACCTATTTTACCATTTTTCTAGAGGACGTCGGGCGCTCATGCCACCCTCATGGAGTTTGTTTCTGACAGTTTGGTCAGAAACATGCACACCAGTAGCCCACTGGAGGTCATTTTGTAGGGCTCTGGAAGTGCTCCTCCTGTTCCTCCTCGCACAAAGGAGCAGAGACTGGTCCTGCTGCTTTGATGCTATCCTCGTGTAACAGCCCATCTCCTGTTATCTCCTCTATGCTCTTGACACTGTGCTGGGAGACACAACAAAACTTCTTGTGACGGCATGTATGGATGTGCCATCCTGGAGGAGCTGGACTACCTGAGCAACCTGTACCGCCTCATGGAACCAGTAGTGATGAGGACACTAACAAAACGCAAAACTAGAGCAATCAGTTAGGAACGATAAGGAGAGAGTCTGTGGCCACCACCTGCTTTACCATTCCCTTTTTGGGAGTTGTCTTGCTGTTGCCTCTCCAGTGCACCTGTTGTCACTTTAATTTGCACCAAAACAGGTGACATTAATTCACATCGCTTAACTTTTTTAAGCAGTGTAGTATAGGGAGCACCGGTTAGTATACTTCCTCTTTGGACAGAGATGTTTGATGTTTGTTTCTGTCCAGTTGTCTGTGTACGAGTGTGGACTAAACAGCCATAACATTTATTTGTCTGAGCTACAATTTTCAAAACAACATAATAGCACACATAGTCAGACTGTAACATACATGTTAACAGAATTAGAATTTTAAAAACTATTTATTGTCATGATCTTGGGTTTTACTGTGTTGTTTTTCTGTTATTTTGTTAATGTCCATTTCTGTTTACCCATTGTCTGTGTCTTCTTGTTTAGGTTTTGTTAGTTGTTCATTGCTTCCTTGTTCTCCGTTGTATTTAGTTACTTATATCCTTGTGTATTGTCAGTAGCTTTACTTCCTGTGTTATTTTGTAATTTCGGTGTTTGGTGTTTTTGCCTTGATTCCTGTTTTGTCTGACTTGTGATTAATTCCCCTGCCTGCTTGTGTGTGTGCGGTGTGCCCTTGTACTGTATATATTGCCCTCAGTTGTGTTCAGTCTTTGTGGTGTCGTCATCAAATGTTGAGTGTTTTGCCCTGTGCTCTGTTTCCCGTGTCCTCCAGTTTTGGATTACTCTGCCCTGTCCTGGATTTATGTTACTTTTGGATTCTTCCTGTTTTTGAGTTCTCACTGAATTAATACTCTTTGAACTGTATCCTCCTCTCAAGTGTCTGCATTTGGTTCCACACCTCTGTTTCGCTGCTGTTGCACTCAGCCTGTCTGAAACAGAAACATCTAGCTATTTGTACTCAGATCTCAAAATTGCTCTGAAAAATCTACAGAGAAATCTGGAAAACTATGGAATTTTGAAATGGGAAAGTGACTGTATAGGAGAGTTAATGGCGTAGTTTTGAATATTTGAAAGGACCTTTAAAAACATCCCTAGGCGGTATTATGCAACATAACCCTTTCTGATATGCTGCACTGGATAGTACACTGGCACGAACATGTAGTGTTGCACAGCAAGTGATGTATTTTTTTATTTTCATGAACAGTTACTGTTGTTACTGTTACTATTGTACAAGTTATGGACGTTCCACTGCAAGCACCATGCAGAACGAGATTGTTTAAAATCATCCAAAGTGCAGCAGAGTAACAAATTCTGAGCATCTTAGAGCTTTGAGTTGGCACCTGTGCTTTGTTGATTTGTTGAGTACCTTGCTGAGCTTGAACCCAGCGGTGCAAATGTACCCCCGCCAATCAGTGACTCAACTGTTCAACCATTGAATATTGAAAGTAATCACCCACTATCAAGTTCCTAGAAGTCTAGGTGAGAATTTTAGGTTTCATCGGTTGTTATGAGTTTAAGGTAAAAATGTAGTTGTGTCACTGCAATTGTCAAACATATGATCATGTGTTTCGCTATAGCTTGTGATGCTTCAAGAATGAATCCATGCTTCCTAGAAAACTAGTAATTGAGTTACTTAGGATGCAAATACAAAAGTGATGGTGAGAAGAAAGGTAGAGACTGGAGGATGGAGGGAAAGGGACTAATAGGGAGCGGGAGAGTGGAAATGAAGCTCCCAGAATAGCAGCAGCGACCAGTGAGTGTGCTTTTTGTGGAGAGTGTCTCTGAATGCTTGGAGGGCCTTGGGGGCCCAGACTGACAGAGGAGAACTTGGAGGAAAGGGAGCCTCTGGGAGTCAAAGTGTGTGTATCTGTGTGTGTGGGTGTGAAAGAGAGGACAGTGTTATTTTAACCCCGAACTTACATCCGGATGTCACTTACCTTCCACCCCCACCCTGCTGCTCCAGTCTGCTAACTCCTCAATCAGTTTACCTGCAGGCCAGCTGTCACATGCCACTCTGTGGCTTTCACTCCCTGTCTAGCATTCTAGCCTCCTTCTCCTTTCACCTTTAGCTGTTTTCCCCTTCATTATCCTTTCGCTTTTTTCTGTTGCTCTACACAGATACACAGGTATTACATTACCAGCCCCCCTGAGAACTGGCGTGCTGTCTGTTGCTTCCGGGTGTTCTGTGTGTTTGCTGTGTTGTTAACGCATCAGGTTTCCTGATTAAGTGGCCCTGTAATAGATCACCTTGTGACACTGGCAACTCACAGCCACAGGCTAGAAGACTAGAGCTTCCAATAGATCGACCAAATTCAAGCTCCGCTTTGAAATCTGAAAGGTAAACTTCAGAGTACTGGCCATAATTTACATGTTATTAGTCTTGTAGACAGTGTATGTTTTACATCTGGTGTCAGTTCTATATTTACTGATCATCTCAACACGTTTGACTGGATTTATCTCTGGTTTTATTCAAGTTGTCTCTTTAAGGGGAAATTCTGTGTGTCTGTAGGCTTGGTATAAGACAGACTCAGACGTAAACCATATAACAGCAAAGACCTGTCTGCATCTCTACTGTCTCTGCCACTAAAGGCTAAATGCCTCATACAATCTTTAAAAAAATATTGAGATATTCAGATATTTCTCAGTCTGGGTGGTAGTCTTATATTTTTGTCCACTGGTC